CCACGCTCTTTGTTCCTCCTTAATACTACCTGGGTACTGCATTAACCCTGGCCCTTTCCCTACTTCTTTCTCACACTTCCCACACCTTTTTCACTGTATCTTTATTAAATACTTCTCAAATAGCGCAGCTTTAGCATGCTGTCTGTTTCCTACTTGGACCCCTAAATGGTTGACCTCTTAGAGACCTAGTCCCCAGATTGTCTTTTAGACCCTGACACCCTTAATTTCTCCCAGCAGTGGCAATGTTGACCTCAGATTCCTTCTATGAACCACAGACGCACTGCATCTCCCCACTCCAGCTGCTTCATCACTGGCTTGTCTTCCTTCTCCTACCTCTAATATCCAGGTATTTCCCAGGATTGACCTTTACCCAGCTCTCTGAATACATTGCCTTGGAATCAACTATCACCTTTATGTAGAACTGTGACTTCATTCTTGAATTTACCATGACACCCGTGATAGAAAATATTCACAGGTATGACATAGTGCCTTGGATCTGCTTGGAGTGTGATGAGCTCCCAAGAAATTGGTTAGGAACTAAAACATGGTTGTGATGGTTAATTTTATGTGTCCACTTGGCTGAGCCATGGTGCCCAGATATTTGGTCAAACATTATTCTGGATGTGTTCTGTGAGGGTGTTTTGGGTGAGATTTACATTTCAATCAGTGGGCTTTGAGTAAAGCAGATGGCCCTTCCTAATGTGGTGGGTCTCATCCAGTCGGTTGAAGGCCTGGATAGAACAAAAACGTTGACTTCTCCAAGCAGGAAGGAATACTGCAGTTGACTTCCATCAGATTTCAACTGCAGCATCAGCTCTTCCCTGGGTCTCCAGCCTGACAGCCTGCCCTGCAGATCTTGGACTTGCCAGCCTTCATCATCACATGAGCCAGTTCCTTAAAATCTCTGTCTACCTACCTATCCATCTATCTCCTTGAGTGCGTTTCTCAGGAGCTGGAAACCTTTCCTGGAAGTGTCCTGCCTGCAATCTCAGTGGCCAGAATTGGGTCACATGCACAGTTCTGAAACAATCCTTGGGAGGGTGATGCTGTGACTGGCTTAAACAAAGCAGAGTCTCCCCCTGAGCTGCGAGCGAGGTTAGCTTCCTCTGGCTCAGGGTGGTTACCTGAGGCAAAGCAGGGTTCTGCCAGGAGGAAAGAAGGGGGGAAACAGATGTTGGGAGGGAGCCCACAAAGTCCACCAAAGGGGTCATCTGGACCTTGGCAGTCCCTTTTCTTCAGGCAAACAGATGCTGTCTTGGTACTCTGCCAAACAAAAGATTTGTTTCTTCAAAAAAAAAAAATCAGGGGCCGGCCCAGTGGTGTTGTGGTTAAGTTCATGTGCTCTGCTTCAGCGGCCCAGGGTTTGCATGTTTGGATCCTGGGCATGGACCTACATACCGCTCATCAAGCCGTGCTGTAGCAATGTCCCACATACAAAATAGAGGAAAATTGGCATAGATGTTAGCTCAGCGACAATCTTCCTCAAGCAAAAAGGGGAAGATTAGCAACAGATGTTAGCTCAGGGCCAATCTTCCTCACCCCCACCCCTCCCAAAAAAATCAAACTGCACTGAACATATTGGTCTTTGAGAACTTACTTCAGTTACTGGGGCATGAGTATGAGGTATATCACACAGCTTGTGACAATTTACTTGAAAACCCCCATTAAGTGTCTCTGCCTTCACCTCTCTTCCTCCTCCCCCTTCTCTTGCATCCTTTCATTCACCCAAACCCTCACATAGCTTCTCTTTCCTTTTCTATTTCAGGGGTTGAACTCACACCCTTTTTAAATGAAAATGTGAATTAAATGCCTAAAAGCGTACAACATTGGAAAATATACCCTTTTCTCATGCAGGGAAGTTCTGTCTACTACTATTGATTAGAGAACCTGAAGGCCCAGCCTCCACCCTCCAAGGATTTATGAAAGTATTCATTCACTCACCAGTTGCAGGGAAAAGAAATTTTCTACATATCATTCTATTGTGAAAAGTCTATAATACTCTATTTTCTTTGAAAGTGTAAATCCTTCACGATCTTTTTATTTTAACTAGTATTAGTAAAAGGCTCCTTGTGCCCTATCTCACACGTGAGTGTAATGGATTGGAGTGCTGAGACTGTGTGGTGGAGGCCTTCGAAGCAATAATAATCAATAACCCCAGCCCCGTCCTCTCTCCTGAGCTTGAGTCTCATATACATTGCTCATCTCTGCCAGGTGGGAAAGGAACCTCATTACGTTCAAAAGGAAATAATCTTCCATTGCAAAGTTGTCTCTCCTGTTTCCTATTGCTGTTATCAGCATCACTGTCCTCCCAACAGACATTTTAAATTCCTTTCTCCCTTGGTTTTTGTGTTAAAGCACTTCCAAAAATTTGGTCTGGGGGTATTAATAGGTGTTCCTTGAAGAAAGTGTCCTGTGGCCAAAAGCCTTTGGGGAATGCTATATACCATCTCCCTATCTTGGAGCATTACAATGCATATCCACATATTAAAGGCCCTGAGAAATTCTGTAGAACAGAAGGCAGTCAAACCATATTTAATCTGGCATTTCCCAGACTTATGTAGTCACAGAATGATTTTTGCAGGGAATATCTGTCCATATATGCCGAGATATTAGTAATTTATGGAATAGAGTAGGGAAAACATTGATCAAAGCAATTTTTGAATAAGGATGAGGGACAAAATTAATATTTGTTGAGTGTCTAGCAAGTACCATATACATAGATGAAGTAGATTTAAAAAAAAATAACAACACTACTAATAAGGAGAAAAAGCCCAAGTACCTCTTTTATTAAACAGACTTAGATAGAAGTCTCGCTCCATGATGATGAAATAAAGTCCTGATTTACCTTCAGTGTTATGGTAGTTGGTGTGTGGGCGTTCTGCACTTTCTCCCTTATCTTTCCAAACAAACGGTGATGACTAACTCCTTCTGCTGTGTACATTCTCAAAACTGCTTGTGTCACATTTCACTCTGAGATTTTCGTTAAATACCACTAGAACTTGTGCCTTATGGCTTCAAGTATCATTTTAATAAAGGCAAAACTGAGTATTTGTAGGTTATAAATATTTTATTCTACATTGTATTACCAGACTAAGGACTTAACTAGAGTCTTTTTACCTTAACCCTTAATGTGTTGAATTCATATAGGTGCCTAATAAGTGTTCATTTATGAGAATGTAAGACTCTATGGGTTCTTAGCCTAACCTCAAGAACTATCAGAAAAAAACAGCATTTAATTAAACTTCATTTAAGACTATACAAATGGGTAGAATCGCCAAGTAGGAAAACAAATTGAAAGGGATAATCTGAAGAAAATTTGGAAAGATGTGAGAGGAGAAATTCAAGTTGTGATTGGACAATGAGGAGAGATAAAGAATGGATTAAAAGGAGAGTACTTTTCAATATTGTATGCTTTAATGCACTTAATTCACATTTTTGTTAAAAATTTATACAAACTGGCAGTAGATTGAATTTAGGTAGTATATTGATAAGATAGCTGATCTGACATGGGTAATTAAAGAGTTGATTGGGCTGTTTTTCCTTAATGAAGCCCAAGAGTTGGCCGCAGAAAAGCCCGTAGTCACTGCTTAAAAAAACAAACTGCCCAGTGTATATAATGGCTTTTTAAAAATTGAAGTACATCACACAAAGAACTATTTCTAAAAGGCTCAAGCAAATATGGGGATCTGAAAACGCTTTTCTGTTCAAGCAGCTGAAGAGAACATAGGGAAGTCATAAAGTAAAGAGCATTTCTTTTCAGGATGCCTCTTCTCGTAAGTAGTTTAAAGTCCAGTGGAGTGTGCAAAAAGCTCTTTCATAAAGCAAGAAAATAGAAAAAGAAGCTGTTGGCATTTCTGATTTTATTGAATAACTGCAAAACAGTGGCTGTGAAAGAGAAGAAAAAACTCACGGAAATGGGTAGTTGAAAGACATAATAAAAGATAAAAAAAAAAAAAGCAGATGAAGTGAGTGCGGAGGCAATGTAATGCCTCTCACTTCAGAGAAGTCAGGCAGAGAAAATTATCCCAAGAGATTGCCAGACAGATGGCATGCTAAAGCGTCTTGGATTTCTCTGAAGATGGGCTTGCCCCAGTTGGAGTCCTCGAGCAGGGGAGGGAGTTTTCTGAGCCGTCTCACGTCTCAAGTGCTGCTAATGAAAGGAAGAGGTGGTGACTATTCATGGAAAAATATCAATGATGAAATTTTGAAACATGTCTAGACTTTTAGAACCAAGAAGTAGAAAATGTACATTGGCTACTCAGCTTGAGGTGATGTTTGACTTAAAAGTGTTTGTGGCACTCCTATTTTGGGACTCCCGGAGAAATGGTTGATTCTAAGGTGCAGCAGAGAATATACAAGATGAGTCTGGAACATCTTACAGTTCCAGAAAGTAAGCGAGTGCTAAACACACACACACGCATGCACACACACACACACAGAGTGATAGAGATATGTCAAAGGGACGCAAGAGTCAACTGAAAGAACTCCAAATGGTCTTAGCTGGAACATAATTTAAGCCAAAAAATTTTAAAAAAGTGTTTTGGATTATAATCCAAGGTATAAAATAAATATCCACAATTAAACAAATAAATAAAGGAAGGAGAACAGAAAAATCTCCCTTCCAGAAGAGTTCCAAACAATTTATGTAGATACTCCACCCTTGTAGACATGAGCATAACTTCCAAATTGTTAAACGTGGGCTGCACATAGTGACTTTCTTCCAAATAGTACCATATGGAAATGGGGAAATAAGGGTAACTTTATAGTGGAGAATCCTGAGAAACGCTACCGCAGCCAGGTGATCAATGACAACATCAGTAGTGCTAAATTATGTTGATAGTATGTCCCCTTGATATGATGTGAGGAAAATGGCACTTGACCTCTGTGGTCTTCCTCTAATACCCCATAACTCCAGTCTAAACATGAGAAAAACATTAGATAAATCCCAACTATGGGACATTCTACAAAATATCTGACCAGTACTCATCAAAACTTTCAAGGTCATCACAAACAAGGAAAGTCTGAGAAATTGTCACAGCCAACAGGAGCCATCCTAAGGACACATGATTACTAAAGGTAATGTGACATCCTGCAAAGGATCCTGGAATAGAAAGGGGACATTTATATGTTAGAAACTAAGGAGACTTGATTATAATATGGACTCTAGTTTAATGATAATATATCGACAGTGGTTCTTTAATTGTGACAAATGTACCATGCTAATGCTAATAATAGGGGGAACTGGGTGAGGGATATATGAGAACTCTTTGTACTATCTTCACAATGTTTCTGTAGACCTAAAACTACTCCAAAATGAAAATTTTACTTAAATATTAAAAAACAGCCTTTGTCATAAATGCTGGCATGTGAAGATATTGGCTGAGAAATTCTTACAGAGATATCTTATTTGATAGCCAAGCCTTGTGATGTTAAACTTGTTTTTCCCATAAGCTGATTTGCTTGGATGAAATACCTTATTTTTTAAATGGTTAAAACTCTTCGATATAAATTCATAAAAACTAGTTCCAAAAAAATCTGTTAGGTTAAAAAAAAAAGCAGTAAAAAGTAAAGAAAAGGTAGCTGGGTCCATAGATGCAAAAAAAATACTGTGTAATTTTATTTATAAAAAGTTCAAAACATACAATTAAGGGAAAATTAATCTAGAATGTTAGAAGTTGAAACAGTGATTATCTTTAGGAGTATGACTAGGAGGGGCATTAGGGCTGCTTCAAGGAGCATAATGGTCCTTTTCTTGATCTGGGTGGTAGTTACCAGAGCATATTCACTTTGTGAAAATTCATTGGGAAACAGACTTATAAACAGAGAGTAATATATTATGATGATTGCTATAATGGATATGCATGCAAATGTACTGGGATTCTAGAGGTGATCTTTGGTCTCTCAGGGGAAGTCAGAGAGGGCTTTGCAATAAGGAGGGTCATGTGAGTTGATACATGATGAAAGAGTACACATTTGCCTAAAAGGAAGTGGGTGTTGTTAAGTGGAACAAGGTAAGATGAAGAGAGAATTCTAGACAGAGGTAACAGCTAGAGAAAAATCAGAGGCAGGATGGATTTTGGAAAATTCCTGTAGTTTGGGAGAACGGCAGGAAGTGACTGTTATTTTTTATTTTTTTTAAAGATTGGCCCTGAGCTGACATCTGTTGCCAATCTTCCTCTTTTTAAATTCTTCTTCCCAAAGCTCCCCAGCACGTAGTTGTATATTCTTGTAGGTACTTCTAGTTCTGCTATGTGGGATGCCACCTCAGCATGGCTAGATGAGCAGTGCTATGTCCGAGCCCAGGATCCAAGCTGCCTGGGCCCAGGATCCAAGAAACCCTGGGCCACCGAAGTGGAGTGCACTAACTTAAACACTTCGCCAGGGGGCCAGCCCTGAGGTGAGTGTTATTGACTGAATGTTTGTGTCCCTCTAAAATTCATAAGTTGAACTCTAACTTGCAGTGTGATAGTATTAGGAGGTGGGATCTTTGGGAGGTGATGAGGTTTAGATGAGGTCGTGATGATGGGGTCCTTATGATGGGATTAGCGCCCTGTTAAGAAGAGACCGTAGAGCTTGCTCTCTCTCCACTATGTAATGACACAGTATGAAGACGGCTGTCTGCAAGCCAGGAAGACAGCCCTCAACAGACACTGAGGCTGCCAGCATCTTGATCTTGGACTTCTCAGCCTCCAGAACTGTGAGAAATAAATTTGTTACTTAAGCCACCCAGCCTATGGTATTTTGTTATAGCAGCCAGAACTCACTGAGACACTGAGGCAATAGAGGAAGACAGGAGCAAGATCATAAAAGGCTGTGCATGTCATGCAGAAGAAAAGACTTTGTCTAGGAGGTGGTGAGGTTTAAGCAGTGAGTTATATGATAAGAGATATGCTTAGAAAGATAACTCAAAGGCAGTATAGACGAATGCTTGGAGGGGGACAACTGGAAGCAGGAATACCAGTGAAAAAGCTACCATAAGGGTGCAGGAGAGAGACGATGTCACTGGGAACAAAGAGCAGTAGACAGAGAAGTTTAAGATTTAGAGTTGACAGGTCTTAGTGATTAATTAGATGGGGAGGGCAACAGGTAGGAGTCCAGGATGACATCAATGTCACCATTAGTGAGGATGGAACAGACTAAAGAAAAAGTGGGAATATGGAGAAAGATGAGTTCTGTCTGGGCTGTGTTGAATTTGGGATGTCCAGGTAGAGACATCAGGTAGGTAGTTGGATATAATGGGAATGGGGCCCAGAAGAATGGCCTGGGGCTATAAGAGTTTTCTCTGGTGGACATATAGCTGGTAATTAAAACTAAGGGTGTCTGAGTTTACTTGTGAAGAATAAGTGAGTGAAAAGATCATTCATGGGTGAAGGTGTGTCGATAAAAGTGTTAGAGTTAAAGCTGTTGGAGAGTCACTGAAGTGCTCCACCATGCACAGGTCCAAACTCCTCAAGGAGGAGAGTATGGTCAAGTGTGGTTGCGTGGAGTGACCAGGAGACTGGAGGTCCTAACAAGGTGGAATTATAGGATTTGGAGTAGCTGGGGGATGAGAAAATGGAGAGAATGTGAGATTGTGATAAGAGAGCACGTTACTGTTTAACATTTTCAGGCTGGGCTAGTTCCAAGTTGTATATAGAATGTAAATTCCACGATGGCAGGTGTATTCCACTTCTGTATCTTCAGTAGGTAGAACAGAGTATGGCATATGGTAGGTGCTCCATAAACACTTCTTGAATAAATGAATGGGAACATTACTGAAGTAGACTGAATGGGAAGTTAATAAATTGGATGAAGTCAAGGTCGTCTGTTAAATTCTTAGAAAATTTGAATAGGTGTCATTGATTTGTGTTTAGGAGTACGTGTCTCTTGCTTTCTCTTGTGGCAAGCAAATTAATAGATATAGTCAGGAGGTTTCTATTTCCTGGGATATGGTCATATTCAGGAAACATCTTTTACTACTTCCTGCTTTAGGGAAAATAAATTTCTGTGATGTATAAATGTCTATATTATATTTTTGTCAACACATTCTATTTTGAGGATTTCACCAGATTACCATTTTAAAGTGTTTGCTCTGAAATACGTCGTATCACCTATGATGTAGTCTAGCTCACTGTTTAACTTGAGTACATTAAACCTTTAGTTCCATCCTCAAGTTTACAGGAAATATGGAGAGTAGAAGAGAAGCTAGATGACACCATGCAGAAATAACCAGACAAATAGAGAAGGTAGGACACTCTATAGGGCAGTTGGCCCAGTTTATTCAACAAGTCAGTGAGGTTTAAAGTTAAAAAAAAAAAAGAGGGGCAGGCCTGGTGGTGTAGTGGTTAAGTTTGTGTGCTCCTCTTCAGTGGCCTGGGGTTCACGGGTTTGGATCCTGGGTGCAGGCCTGTGCACTGCTCATCAGGCAATTCTGTGGCGGCATCCTACATAAAAAATAGAGGAAGATTGGCAGGGATGTTAGCTCAGGGCCAATCTTCCTCACACAAACAAGAAAGAGGAGACTTTGCCAGATTGAAGAGGGATCCTAGATTAGATTGTTGTTTGGACCAAGCAATTGCAAAAGCATTTTGTGACAACTGAAGGTGTTAGACTATGGACTAGACATGAGAAAATGGAAAATTTAGTGATGTGGAAAGGTGTGGCTCATTAAGTGAATGAGGTGAACTATAAAGCACCATGTACAATATGATGTAATTTTGGTAAAAATTTTATCAATGTTTATAAATGTATAAAAAAGATCTAGAAGGAAATCCAAGAAGCTCTTAGCAGAGGTAATGTCTGGTTTACGGGAATATATTTTTATTTTCTTGTACTTGCTCATCTATATTTCTAACTTCTACAATGAATTTATATTTCTTTGCAGCATTAAAAATTTATTTTTAAAAAAAATTAAAATGAAAAGAAACTGAAAATGAAGTTTAGAAAGGATACTTTCATTGTAAACACTACAAAAGAGTGTAATAACTTCCTATATTAAGGAAACAACTTCCTCTATTTATGAAATAAATCCCATAAGGCTGCTGTAACAAAATACCACAAACTGGATAGCTTAAACAACAGAAATGTCTTGTCTCCCTGTTCTGGAGGTTAGAAGTCTGAGATTAAGGTGTCGGCAGGGTTGGTTCCTTCTGAGGGCTGTGAGAAGAATCTGTTCCATGCCTCTCTCCTAGCTTCTGGTGGTTTGCTGACATCACCCCAATCTGCCTTCATCTACAGATGGCGTTCTCCCTGTGTGCATGTCTGTGTCCAAGTTTCCCTTTTTATCAGGTCATCAGTCATAGTGGACTAGGGGCCGAGCCTACTGTAGCATGACCTCATCTTAACTAATTACATCTACAGTGACCCCATTTCCAAATAAGGTCATATTCTGAGATACTAGGGGTTAGAACTTCAACACATGAGTTTTGGGGGAACATAATTCAACCCATCACACTTCTCAGGAGAGGATTCCTCATTATTTCAAATTGCGAAAACTTTCTTGCACAAAGGAATGTCGGCTACAGGCCACAAGCTGTTTTATCCTTTAGGATTGAACCAAAATGCTATTCTTAATTAAGACTTTTCAGCCAAGAACATACAATGGGGAAAGGATCGTCTCTTCAATAAATGATGTTGGGAAAACTGGACAGCCTCATGCAAAAGAATGAAACTGGACTCCTATCTTACACCATACACAAAAATCAACTCAAATGGATGAAAAACCTGAATGCAAGACCTGAAACCATAAAACCCCTAGAAGAAAACAGGATGTAAGTTCCTTGACATCGGTGTTGGCAATAGTTTATTTTTATTTGACACCAAGAGCAAAGGAAACATAAGCAAAAATAAACAAGTGGGACTACATCAAACTAAAACCTCTGTACAGCAAGGGAAACCATCAACAGGATGAAAAGGTGACCTATTGAATGGAAGAAAATATTTGCAAATCATATATCTGATAAGGCGTTAATATCCAAAATATAAACAGAACTCATGTAACTCAAAAGAAAAAACAAACAATCTGATTAAAAAATGGGCAGAGAAACTGAATAGATATTTTTCCAAAGAAGATGTACAAATGGCCAATGGTATGTGAAAAGATGCTCAGTATCGGTAATCATCAGGGAAATGCAGATCAAAACCACAATGAGATATCACCTCACACTTGTTAGAATGGCTATTGTCAAAAACACAAGAAATCATAAGTGTAGGCAAGGATGTGGAGGAAAGAGAACCGTTGTGAACTCTTAATGGGGATGTAAATTGGTTCAGCCACCATGGAAAACAGTATGGAGTTTCCTCAAAAAATTAAAATAGAACTACTATATGATCCAGCAATTGCACATCTAGATATTTATTGAAGGAAATAAAATCACTATCTCAAAAAGGTACCTGCACCTGCATGTTCATTTCAGCATTATTTACAAATGCCAAGACATGGAAACAAACTAAGTGTCCATCAGCAGATGAATGGCTAAAGAAAATGTGGTGTATACTGTGGAATATTATTCAGCCGTAAAAAAGAAGGAAATCCTGACATTGGCAACAACATGGATGGAACTTGAGGACATTATGCTAAGTGAAATAAATCAGACAGACAAAGACAAATACTGAATGGTCTCACTCATATGTGGAATTTAAAAAAAACCCAAACTCATAGATACAGAGAACAGATTGGGGGTTGCAAGAGGTAGTTGGGGAGAGAGTGGGTGAAATGCATGAAGGGGGTCAAAAGGTACAAACTTCCAGTTATAAGATAAGTAAGTCCTAGCATGTAATGTACAGCATGGTATCCATAGTGAACAATACCATATCATATATTTGGAAGTTGCCAAGAGCAAATCTTAAAATTTCCCATCACAAGAAAAAAAATTGTAACTTTGTGAGGTGATAGATATTAACTAAACTTGTAATCATTTCTCAGTATATACATATATCAAATCATTATGTTGTACACCTAAAATTAATACGTTGTATGTCAATTATGTCTCAATAAAAAAGAAAAAGACTTGTCTCTTTACCTGTAAACAAAAAACGTCCTCAGAAAATGACCAAGCTATAGTGACTCTTTCATACACTTGTAAGTTTTATTTGATCTTTAATTCAGACACTCACAGGCTAAACAAATGTCTGCAAAATTTCGACCACTTCCAATGAGATTGATAGAGAAGGGTTAAAAAAAAGAAGAAACAA